ATGATCTGTCTGTTCATGCTTAAGAGCCCCTTGTTGTTAGACACATTCAAGAGGTAAACACTTTTCCAATCTAACCAAATGAGAAAAACTAGGAAAAAATGTTTCTGTCCCCTCTCCACCTTTTTGTCCTTGACTCTAGGGCCAGGCTCCTTAGAGGCACTAGGTGAGTAGAAGGGGGAGAAGGGTCCAAAGTGATGCTCAGGCCTTTACCTTCCTCATCATCTTCTATGCAATGTTCTGGCCCCACTGTGGGTAGAGGTGGGAGAAAAGTTACAGTGATAGGATCACTGAGTTTAGAGCAGAAAGGAGTCTCAAGTGATGATCTAGAGAAGCAGCATGGCCCAGTGGAGCAGACTGACCCTTTACTAGGGTTGTGATGTCAGGCAAGTCACTGCGAATGGAGATGATGGTGGTAACTTCCTTACACAGTTGCCATGGGGATGCAGAAGGATGGAAGCATCTGTAGATAATATCATTGCCACAGAAGCCAGTCACAAGACTTGGGTTCTATTGATTCATGCTCTCATTTCCAGAAGGATGTGGCACTCCTCCACCTATATAAGGAGGTCTAAGAGAATCCATTGTATATTTATGTTTCACAGACAGATTTCATGAATAGGAGTTAGAGCCAGGTTCATCTGTGACACCTATTCCCCAGCTAGAAGGGAACACAGACTCCTCACCCAGCCAAAGAGCTTCTTCCCAGTTCTTACATTCAGTTCTTGGCCCCCTTTCCATATTCCTTGTCCTAAACTGTCCATCCTTCTCTCTGTGTCCTCCGAGCATTTAGCTACCAGGAATCAGTAGAACAATCCAAACCCATCTATCCTCCCATCTCCCAACCACTTGGCCTAGGGCTGCTTCAGTTTCAGGCCCCAGGAGCCCCATCATGGGAAGTCCAGTGTCTGGATGGCTCCCCAGTCCGGCTGTCTCTGACAAGGGGGTTACCGCAGATGGATTCTTCTCTCTGGCCGATTATTTTCCATGGCCCTTGGCCATGTGACCTCAGACCATGATCTTGTCAGTTCTCATAAACTAAGCAGGAGTGGGCTGAGTCACAAGCAGAGGGGAAACCTCTGGGGAAAACAGCAGGAGCTGTGGGAGCAAGAAGAGCAAGCTGGGATCCCAAAGGCCATGGGAGCCTCACCCCTCCACTCTACCACCTCTGAGAGGCTTTGAGCTTACAGGAAGGGAAAGAGGTGGAGACAGTGGCCTCGGGAGGCAGGCTGGACTACAGGAGGACTACCCTTCTGAATAAGATCTAAGGTCTCAGCTCAAAGAGACTAATTGTTCCCAAGACCTCAACTCGAGAGACTGCCTGACAAGATACTGGTTAGACCTTTGGTTATTGACCAAGTCCCTATCTTACAGACTGCATCATAATGGAAAAACTAGAGAATGGCTCTCTTTCTCTCTCTCACATGCACACACCCCTATACCTACTGTTGGCTCTGGGTGTCCTGTAGGAGGTCAGGCCAGGGATGTCGATAAGAATGTGGGCGTGAGCCACCGTGAGCCCTGGATGCTGTGCTGCTGGGTGAGGATGTTCTGGGGACACTACATGAACTGTTTCTATTATGCCAACAGATTAGAACTGAAAATTAGGTGCCGCTGAAATTTTCATATTCTCCAAAATCCTGAAATTGGGTGTTGTGTGAACAAAACCCCATGGTTCTCTACCTAAATTTTTTTTACTTTAAATGAATTTCCAATTCATGTGTCTCCATGGTTTTGGGTCACGCATTACCTTGAGTTCTCTGACAAGTTAATGCATTGTTAGAGAAGTTATATTCTGAGCAAAATGTGCACATGTAAACAAATCCCTTAACTATGTATATGTTTAAGTTACTTTCTGGGCATCCATCTGATGAAATCTCAGGGAGAACGAATACATGGATATGTGTCCGTGGGTATAGCACATATATTTATGCGTACAGAAAAACGCAGGGCAAAGCACACTATTTTAAGTATGAATTCTATCTTTCAACCAAGTTTAGCTGCTTTTCTTTTGCAAATGCATTTAATTTTATCTGGAAACTTTTTGACGTTAGAAATAGAACAACTGTAGTTTCTCATTATGTTTGCTGCCAGAATCCATGCTTGGTTGCTCAACTAAAGACCTTATATTGCTAATTACTACCACATGCCCATATCCCAAGCGAAAGAAAACTTATTGATTCTGACAGCCCATTCTCTCAACACTGAATTCCAAATGAAAACTCAAATTTTGGCCAAACATAACATTTCATCAATCTTGTTCTACTGACTAGAAAAACAACATCAAACAAAGGGTGCTAATGGCCCTTTATTACCGTTCCTTTCCCAAGCTTATATTTTCTGATGAAAGATCTAAGTGACCAAAGGGCTTCTTTAAACTACTTAGTAATTAGCTTTTGAACCAGGAAACAATGCATAAAGTAAAGCGAACAGACCCAGTGCTGATGACAGAACCTACTTTCTGTCCGCAGGGTCGGGGGACCTCAGAGACCCAGAGTGAACATTAAAGGCAAAGTGTGCATTTTCATAAAGGAAGAAGAGGAAAGAGAAAAAACCAGGGTAAAAGTAGTGATAAAAGATGATGGAGATGGAGCCAGAACAAAAGCTGCAGGAAGTCTGTGATCTGAAGCCTTCGACGCGGGGGTTTGCACAGAGGGGCCAAGGCCAAGTGACAACCGGGTGGGACTGGAGTGTGTGAGAGACTGTGGGTCTCAGGGCCTCATCTGGGTCACCCGTCAACAAAAGCCCCCCGCCAGCAGGCCCACCCACACTGGACTATGGCAGCTATTTTGGAGGGGAAAAAAAAATGTACCTGGACTGAGAGTCGGGAAATACTTTCAACACAGACATCAGGGCAATTGATTTTATTGACATCTTCAGGGGCGGTGAGGGAGAGGGGAAGGCTGGCTGAGACAGTGGCCTGGGGAGGCCATAAAGGCAGCCCGTGTGCCCCGAGTGCCTTCTGCTTTATGGCGACCTGTCCGCACCTTCAAGGCAAAACGAACCAAGAGGCTGTTTTCCTCTTGGCATGGAATAAATGACCAGTGGAAATCTCTGGACTTATTTGGCCTTTTGGATCTAACCAATGGCCCAGAAATCGGAACAGCTTGGTTCTAATCTCATCCAGGGCTGTTACGATAATAGGAGGAGGAGGGCTCCATCAGAGGGGAGGTGGGGGAAAGGCTGCCTCCCTGGAAAAGACGCCAACTGGCCTCCTCTGTCCTCCATGCCTTTGAAAGGAAACGGGTGTCCAGTGGGTAGTTCAAGAAAATGAGTCCTTTTCCCCACCTCCTCATTTTCTAAACAGAGGACTGGACACCTGAGCTCAGGATGCAATGGCATCACTGATGGGAGAAGAGGTGGGCTCCTTCCAATGTGACCGTCAGGCAAGGAGGAGGCGGTGGATGGAAACACGATGCTACTCCTTTTATTTTTCTCTTAAAGAGCAAATAGGCTATTCAAGAGCTCATTTGAACATGCATAATCATGGCTGATTCTGTCGTTGTATAGCAGAAACCAACACAACACTGTAAAAATTAACAAATATGTATTTAGATTTAATCAAAAACTGTAGCTCAGATGGTAAAGAATCTGCCTGCAATGCAAGAAACCCGGGTTTGATGCCTGGGTCGGGAAGACCCCCTGGAGAAGGGAATGGCAACCCACTCCAGTATTCTTGCCTAGAGGATTCTGTGGACAGAGGAGAATGGTGGGCTTCAGTTCATGGAGTAGCTAAGATTCAGACATGACTGAGTGAAAATTTTAAAATGTATGGAATAAGAACAAAACAAAAAAACCCTAATTCCATAATAGGAACTTCCATGACTGGGGAAGGGGCAAAGTGATAGAAAATATTCTGTATCTTGGTCTAGGCGGTAGTTACTGAGTGTGTACATAGGTATAAAATCCCTGAGCTATATATAAAGATGTGTATATCTTACTCAATGGAAGTTAAAATGAAAACCAAAACTCAAAAGCAAACAAAATCCAATGCTCAAGAAAAGCTTTGAAAGAAAAACAGTACAGAATGGTTGTTTCCACCCTACCTCCCTCCAACCTTCTCCTTCGAGACAGAGCAGTCAAGGCCTTATATCTACTTAGGAGTAAAACTTCCAGCTGACAACACACCCACACACTGACACTGATATTGACAAAATGATGTGAGCACAAATCGAAACAGTCCCCAAGAAGAAGGCATTCATGTATGGAAAGCCAAACAAAAGATGCATCAGGAAGCCCGCGCAGTGCCCTGATATACTATAAACATATTTCTTGTGCAGAAGGAATTTCAACTGAGTAATGAGTCCCTCTGAGGATAAGCTTGGTACCTCCTGGCTAAAGAGACCTGGTCTCCTGGGGACCAGAGTGCCAATATCGCCTTGATCTTGCCCTCCTTGGGACTTCCCTGCTGGGGTATAAGCCCATGGTTTGGCTGCACGAAAACCCCATAAGATGACACCTCTTTAGTCTTAGGGACCAGAATGTAATTAATCACCTAATTAATACAAAGAATGAATAAACTGGGCTTACACATTAGGGATCAGAATAGAAAATATGAGTTCAGTAACACATGGACTCCTTCCAGGACAAATATATTATGTCTCTTGGAAAGATGGGTGGGAAAGAGAGTTGTGAATGGGAACAGGTCCCAGGAGTTGGTCCTTGTGATAACTTGGAGGGGTCCTTCTGACATCACGCCCCACACAGAATGCGGCCCTTCAGGTGGGGTGTGAGGGGGGCAGGATTCCGGTGTCACCGCCACAGGGGCTCTGAAAGTCACTCAACCACGTCTCTTCTGATGCAACTGACTTACTTTCTGCCTCCATGTTTGTTAAAAGTCCCGCCGAATTTATTCCGATTCAGGATGAGAGCAGCAATTTCGGGCACGTAGCGGGCAAACATTGCCTACATGCGTGAAACAAAGAAACAAGAGCCAAAACAAAAATGGCATGCAGAGAGGGTTCTACCGCAGTGGAGGCAGCAACGCCTCTTGGCATACTTACTTTCTTCCACTAACCGCACTATAGGAGCCCCCGTATTTCTTGCGGTTTCCTATTAACTCTATGATTTCAGGGACGTAGCTGGCAAACATGGCCTGAGGAGAAGATAGGAGACAGAAGAGAGACTAAAAAGACAGGCCAAAGAAAGGGGGGTGACCTTTTCAGAAGGGGGAAGGGGGAGATACTAAGATCTGAAAACACAAAAGGACTAGAACTGCAAAGGTATGTATTCATGGGCTGGATTGTATTTAAGAAAAAAAAAAGAGCAAGCTTCTGAAGTTACATAGGACAAAAACAAACATTAACCAACCTAGACAACTATAAAAAAAAAAAAAATCAGTTAAGAAAAATGTAAAGGAGACAGGAATAAATAAATTGATATCTAGCTCTACTTCCTGAAGAGAAATAAGGGGAGGCATGCTAGAGAATAATACACACACACACACACACACACACACACACACACACTCATTCATAAACACACAATTTTAAGAGAAAACCTTTCTTTCTAATTAAAATTCAAATGATAATTCATGCCTTTATGAGTGATTAAAGACAATAAACACCAAGAGAAGATTTAAAATATATATAAACTTTTCCATTAAAAAAAAATCACTAAAAAGCACATAAGGTAAATTTAGGAAACCACATGGGAGGAAAGAATAGCAAGGAGAAACACAAATCTGCCATGTTTTGTCCAACAAACATTGTGCTTGTGGCTGGATAATGCAGTCGTGTGATCTGCAGGGACCTCACGGGTACTGCAGGAATGCTGTGAGCATGTACACACCACACGTACATTTATATACATTTCTCAAATGTATACGCCATATGCATACAAAACAGAGAGTGTGTATGCATGAGATAAATGCATGTGCGGTGTACATATGTGAAAGCTGTGTGTGAGTTTAGGTTTACCTCACACACAGCAAAAATCTAAACATCGAATGGGCTGCTCTGAAAGACAAAATGCAGTCACTGCTGATGAGCGGCCAGAAATCCCCGTTGAAAAGTACATGGTAACCCACTGAGATGATCTGCGTAGACCAGGAAAGCAAACAGTGCGACTTTCTGACTTACAGAGTGAGGGCGGAAGCACCCACCCGTGTCGCTGTGTAAGGGAGTTGTGGTCTGTTTACAAAACCACACTCAGCTCACGTGGTGATGTCCATCTGGGGAGTAGTGCACTCTCTGTCCTCTGGGGTGGGGACCCTCCTCTTTAGGGCAAGGGCCCAGCCACAGTGTTTGTTGGAAGTTTGGGGAGGACCGGGATGGGGGTGGGGAGCTCTTGAAACCGCAAATTGTCTACAGAGTATCAACATTATCTACCCGGTCAGGTGATAACACTGTCCTTGCAGAATATCAGAGGCTGAATTACATTATGAAGGCACAGACCCTCTCACTTGATAAGTGAGCATCCCTTTCTTAAGACAATTAGGTTTGCTACGGGCTAAATGGCCGTCCCTCACAGGACACTGTGCTTGGGTCTCCGGGAAACAAACTCAATACCCAAAAGAAATAGGCAGAAAAGGCACCCTGGCATTTGGGATTGCCTTAACTGGACTGTAACACTAAGGCAGTCACTTGCTTCTAACGCAGAAACACAGGGTCAAATACACAGCCTTCAGAAAATGGATAATAGAAAATACCAATGATCACAAAATCAACATTGTAAGAAAGCGTTTTTACCAGTCCCCCGAGGATGAAGAAGACCATGAAGAGACGCCCGAGCGTGGTTTTTGCATAAACATCCCCATAACCGACAGTGGACATGGTCACCATGAGCAGATAGACACATTCCCAGTAGGTAAGAGCCTGGTTGTTTTGGAAATTTTCCCATGGGTCCCCTGAATTCTCCACCTAAATCAGGGAGACAGGGGAGAGAAAGGAAAAACATTATAGGTGTAATCAACCAGAAACACCAAAGCTCCAGCATCTAGGCTATTTTTGGATATTCTTCATCTTCAACTGCAGGAGTTTGCTGCCCCAAGTGGAGCTCTGTAAGTTGGGCTCACAGCCTCTGAGCAGGTAGTGGAAAAAGTGCAGTGAAAGCCACACCCACATACCCACCAGGCTGATGGGGGCAGAGAAGGGAAGGAACTGAAGTATGTATCCAGAGTCCATTTTCTTCTCACTGTTAAAGATCTGAGGCCAGCAGAATTTTAGGGCACTGCCTCTAGCCGTGTGTTACAGCATTCTTTTCCAGGAAAGAGCCAGAGAGCCCTGCCCTGGTCTAGAGTTTGCTCAGTCCCAAAGAAATCCTGGACCCTCCCACAGAGAGCCTCCTCCTTTCATCCTTTTGACCAAGGAGATGCCTGGGGGACCCTGCTCATTCAGATTACACACCCAAACCCTGAACAGCATCTCTCAGAGTCTGACTAGGCTCTCCCTGCTTTGCAGAAGATCAGGGACCGCTCTGCCCTGCAATCTGCAGTAGTCTCCCTCGGGAGCACAAAATGTGAGCTCAGGAGAACTATTCCAAACTGTACACTCTGTAGACAAAGGACCAGAAAGCTTAGTCTGTGCAGGGCCAGATGGTCAATATTTTCGGCTTTGCGGCCCATAGGGTTTCTGTTTTTTGTGGGGACAACTCATCTCTGCAGGTATAGCAGGAAATCTCTCAGAGGCAATGGGTGTGGAAAGCTTCTGCTCCTGACTTCCTTTTGTTCAGTCGCTCAGTCGTGTCTGACTCTTTGAGACCCCATGGACTGCAGCATGCCAGGTTTCCCTGTCCTTCACCATGTCCCGGAGCTTGCTCAAACTCATGTCCATTGAGTCGGTGATGCCATTCAATCATCTCATCCTGTGTTGTCCCCTTCTCCTCCTGCCTTCAATCCTTCCCAGCATCTGGGTCCTTTCTAATGAATCAGCTCTTTGCATCAGGTGGCCAAAGTACTGGAGCTACAGCCTCAGCATCAGTCCTTCCAATGAATATTCAGGACTGATTTCCTTTAGGATTGACTGGTTTAATCTCCAAGGGACTCTCAAAAGTCTTCTCAAACACCATGGCTCAAAAGCATCAATTCTTTGGCATTCAGCCTTCTTTATGGTCCAACTTTCACATCCATAAATGACTACTGGAAAAACCATAGCTTTGACTGTATGGACCTTTGTCGGCAAAGTAATGTCTCTGCTTTTTAATATGCTCTCTCAGTTGGTCACAGTTTTTCTTCCAAGGAGCAAGCATCTTTTAATTTCATGGCTGCAGTCACCATCTGCAGTGATTTTGGAGCCCAAGAAAATAAAGTCTGTCACTGTTTCCATTGTTTCCCCATCTATTTGCATGAAGTGATGGGACCGGATGCCATGATCTTCATTTTTTGAATGTTGAATTTTAAGCCAGCTTTTTCACTCTCCTCTTTCATCTTCACTTGCAGTCGCCCATTAGACTCACAAAACACTTCCTGTCCTCCCATCACCCATGATCTGCCAACAAATGTGAGGCAGGTAGGAGAGATATTGTAGAGGAGAGGGGCCCAGCCCTACCATACACCCGAAGGCCAATGCCTGCAACCTGCCAGAATGGGCCCTGTGGATGGCCAGCCCCAAGCCTCCCTCCAGATCGCCAGACTGCCTCTGCAGAAAGTGTCCAAGACCTGGCCTCTTTCACACATCAGTGCTTGTCCTCAATGTGCCGTTTCTCGTGGAGGTTTCCTGGTGAAGAAGGATGTACTGGGTTGGCCCAAAAGTTTGTTCGGGTCTTTCCATAAAATGTTATGAGATGAAATTGGTCTAATCCAGTACTTCACACAACAGTAAGGTGAGGTCACTGCTGATTGAAAACAACCAACTAACCCTCCATATCTGTGATTTTTGACACTTGGCAGAGTTAGAGTGATTATCTAAGGGTGATTTCATCCAAGAATCTCATCAGTATAAAAGGGTGGGTAGGGTGGGGAACCATCAGATCCAGTAACTGAGTGATAGCTCAGAAGTTTTCCTTTGAATGCCAATCACAAAAATCCCAACGGTAGATAGGTAATAATGCTTCCTTCCATCCCTTAAGCAGACTGAAGCTCAGCAAGGGAAGGACAACTTTACTCAAAACTTCTGTTAGATGATGCTCCTTCCAGGTGTAACAGTTTGTGTTTGTATGAACTACACATCTCAAAATAGCCATACTTTCTAAAAGTATAGAGAAAAAAAAGCTATACTCCCAGGCAGAAATCTGCCCTGGGAATGTGAGTACAGCTTGACTTCACAATATAAGGCTTTCGGTGAGTTGTTAATTTAAAAGAACTAACATTTTTGAGATGCAAAATAACTTGACAGGTAATCAAGCAAAAGAATCAAAGAGGCCTTTTTGTAAGGGGGAGTGAGTGAAAGTCACTCATTCATGTCCAACTCTTTGTGACCCCATGGACTATATAGTCCATGGAATTCTCCAGGTCAGAATACTGGAGTGAGAAGCCATTCCCTTCTCCAGGGGATCTTCCCAACACAGGGATTGAACCCAAGTCTCCCGCATTGCAGGCAGATTCTTTACCAGCGGAACCACCAAGGAAGCCCTTGTAAGGGGAGAGAAGAGAAATTGAGGAATCTGTTATTTGTTACTTATTAAGAGATGTGTGGCTCAGCTGGTAAAGAAACCACCTGCAATGCGAGAGACCAGGGTTCGATCCCTGGGTTGGGAAGATCCCCTGGAGAAGGGAACAGCTACCTACTCCAGTACTCTGGGCTGGAGAATTCCACGAACTGTATAGCCCATGGGGTCGCAAAGAGTCGGACACAACTAAGGAACTTTCACTTCACTTCAAGAGATGGGGATCAGACTTCCTATCAGGTCGCCAACCTTTTCCAGCGATTGCTTAGGAAGCACTGCCATCTTGTGGTTTACTGAGGTTATTGCAGACAGAATTAAAAAAAAAAAAATCTATACAAGCCCCTGCCCCAGCCATACAGGTGAGCTGAAAAACACAGGATTAGAGTGTGAACACGACTCACCATTTGGAACTAGTTTGGGGTAAAAGGGTTGGAAACCTAGACAACTGGTGCGGTTGTTTTTCCTTTTTCTGCATTCTCCAGCGGGGCTGAAGTTTGTCTCCCAGGTAATAAAATGACTCTGAGAGGGTCTTCCTCCAGAAAAGCAAGAACTGAAGCATCCTCAAGGATACTCACCAAATGGATGAACCCGGCTGCTGTGAGCCACGTGCTGATAAAAATGGAGAGCAGATTCACCAGTTTGATGGAATTACTGTGCAAAAGAGACAAAAAAGCAAGATGCCCAAGTTACAGAAGACCCTGTTGGGAGTGGGTTCCAGAGCAACAGTGCCCCTTTAGGGAGGAGGCAGCCCACCCCCAAGCCCCCAGTGTTCCTCCGTCATAAGGGAAGGATCTGAAAGGCAGCAAAGGTAGTTCAGGCTGGAGCCTGTAGGAAGAGGACATCTGAGTTGCTGAAAGTGGTCCCTAAATTAACCCCTCTGGTTGTTTAAAATTTTTTTTATTACTTTTTACTTTGAACATTTTTATATCTACAGAAATAGTGAAAGACGGGTATAACAAACACTGGGATGCCCTTCACCTAACATTTTGCCACATTGGCTTTATCTGTATATTTTCCCTCTCTTTCTCTTTTTTTTTCTGGATGAAACCATTTACAAGCACGTTGTAGACATGACAACACAACCTTATAAACTCTTCAGCACTCAACACCTAAGAAGGACACAATGTAAAACAACCATAGTACAACTGTCCTGCCTAAGGAGATTAACACCGATTCAGGAATGTCATCTAATATTCACTCCCAAGCTAGATTTCTGCAGATGCTCTGAAATCAGGCTTACTTATGCTCTCATGTTTTCACCCTGACTAAGGAGGTAAGAGAGATAATAATGTGCTGCATTTGATTATTATGTGGCTTTAATCGAGGAGTCAGGAAACTTCTAATAAAGGGACAGATAGTAAATATCCAGACTTTGCTGGGACATAAAGTTTCTGTTGCAACTACTCACAGGAGATTTGTAAAGGAATTAGTTGTGGCTGTGTTCCAATAAAACTTTATTTACAAAGACAGACAGTGGGCTGATTGGCCCACAGGCTGTGTATTTGCCATTCTCTGCTTTATTCTCCTTTAATCTGTATATAACACACCCCGCCTCCCTCCCTCCCAAAACACACACACACACACATACACACACCCTTTTTATTCTGTTTTTCTGTGATTATTTTATTTTCTATGCACCCAGGCCTGCTGTTATCCAGAAAGTCCCATATTCTGGATTTGTCTGACTGTTCCCCTGACTAGATCCTGTTTCAATACATCTGTTGAGAATACCTGCCTGGGATGGCATCACATCAGGAAATTTCAACTGTTACATCAGATTCAGTCACTCGGTATTCATGGGAGCCCCAGGTGGCGCCACTGAAAGGCACCAGGTTCCCTTTGTAATCAATATGCCAGCTGGGGAGTGGGACTTTGGGGCCATAGGAACATCCTATTCCCCAGCAATCTTACACCTAAAAATTTCGCCATCCACTGTTGTTCTTTAAGAAGATCAATTGGAACTCACTAGATATTTAGCTCCCTGAGAGTAGAGGCCTTGTCGGCCAGAAGCCTGGGAGTGGTGAGTCCCTGGCGCACAGTAGGGCCTCTAAGAATTTGCACAGAGTGAGCTGGTCTCCTCTCTGCATTCTTCCTATCTGCCTTCACCACATTTACTTCCACTGGGTGTACAGCCCCTCAACCACTGTTGTCAGGAGGTCGTTGCCCTGTCCAAAGGCTCTCAGGGACTAAAATACTATGTCTACACTGCCTCCTTCCACACCCGCTCAAGTTTCAGATTCTCCTACCACTATTCTTTCTACATAAATTCTTGCAACTTCTATCAAAGCCAAAAATATCTGCCAAGTCTTTGTTTATGCTATGACTCAGCTTGAAAGCCATCCCCACCTACTGAAGATTTCCCTTTCTCCAAAGCTTGGTATAGCCCGTACCTCCTCCTTAAAGTAACTCCACCCACTGGCAATACAAAGTGACCTGTGGCTTTTTTATCTCCAGCTAATCATTGGACACCAATCCCACTCTCTTAAGCCATCATTTTTACATTTCTAGTTGACTCTCTCGTGTTCCCAACTGCATCATGCAGAAAAGAACCCTATTTTCTATCTTTTTCAGTCTTCCCAGAGGGGTGTAACACTGCCCACAGGCTGGCTCAGCCCATCGGACTTAATAGATTGATCTCTGACCCCTTCCACCTCTTTCTCAAGGGAAAACGAATGACTGAAATTCTGAGAGTTTAAGATCACCCTAGTAAGAATGGCGAGCCCAGTTCTCTCACAGGATTTACCATGTGCACTGCCATTTTAAGTACTTCATGGATATTAATTCATCTAATCTTCATAAAGACTATGAATTGGTCCCAAGGTCTAGAAACTGACCCAGGTTCACACAAGTAGGCAGCAGAGTTGGGATTTGAACCCAGGCAGTGTGGCCCCAAAGAGCGCCCTTTTGTCCACTACGCTGTGCAAGAGCCACAGACTGGGGTCCACCAGAAGGTCCTCCCTGTTGTGACAGCAAAGCTGGGACTCCCCCACACTCTTGCAGGATATGAGAAGGGTCAGAGGGCACTGCCCCAGAGAGGAGAGAGGTTACCACCATATGCACTGCCCAACCAGTTTCTCAGGGGAGGCCAGAAGGAAGGAAAAGCCTCCTCTGAGGTCCATCCACACTGGAGAGTGGGAGACTCACGAGGAACAGGTAGTCAGGAGCAAAGAAAGAGATCTCAGGGATGCCTGTGCTGAAACTTCTCAGAAGATAATTGAGTGCCGAGGTGACTCACTCACATAGTCCTGGATGCTGGAACAGAGCAGCGTCCCAACAATAACCGTGCTGAGCCCTCTTGAGATAGTAAAACTATGGGAGTCTCCGGGCCTCATGGTGCTTTGGAAAATGACCTAGTATGGTGACTATTAATCTCTTAGTGATTGTCACAGTGATATTAATAGCGCTTAAGGGAGCTCTCTGTTGTGTAGAGAACATTTAATCATTGTTGCTGAAAGAGTCTCTATTAAGCACTGAAATCTGATTATTTTTATGGCATCTGCATTATTTCAGATCCCCAGTATTAGGATTTGCTTTTCAAATTAAACTCTATGACCAGGCAATCATCTAAAAGCTCCATGCAAGAGATACAAGATTAACTCTTAGTGCACTCTCTCCATATTTTAACATTTGAACCTCACCAGGCTGCAAAGAGCTCCCTGGAAGGAGGAAAAGGGTTGCAGGGCAGGTCTCTGGGCTCTGCGTGGACACTGGAGATAAAGATTTGAGAGCCAAGTCCAGAAGTCTGGACTGAACCCTAAGGTCCTAATGATGAGAGTGATTGGAACAATTCAGATTCTAGCATTCTCGTGATAAGGGATAAAAAGTGTGATCTTTGCATGATAGCCTAACTTCACTTTCGTGTTTTCTATTATTGTTTCTGGGACCCTGGCCCATGAGTTCTCACTAGCCACGAAAGGATACAATGAATCATCCACAGGCAGACACAGAGACAGTCCTGTTTTTACAGATCAGAGACCTTTCTCAGGACTCTAGATATTGGGGGAGAAAGAGAAAGAGAGAGAGAGACGGTGTGTGTGTCTCTGTTGATACTGGAAGAATGAATGCCCATCTCTTTCCAAGATTATCTCTAAAGACACAGAACCATGGGCTTATCTTTGCTCAGTGAATTTACCAGGCCATGTTTTGGTAGACACTGAAAACGTCATCCTCCTTCTAGAAAGAAATACAAATTCCTCCCAGTTCTGGTTGATTAGTATCTTTCTCTTTGCTTCTGGCTGAGAATACAGATAGGTGCCAATACCCTTATTTTGTTTCATTGTTACCTTTGCCAGACAGATGTGAAGCCCCCTCAAAGTCATCTGCACTGTATCCCGTGGGGATGAAGGGCCTGAGCTATTAAGGCACAGGGTGAAGCCAATTCAAGTTCTGTCAATTCTATGCCTTATATATCATTCAATCTCTCTCCCTTTTCTAAGGCCAGTCCCTAGTACCAATGCCTGGACAACTGTCCCCCTGACATCTAAACATCGATGGCTAAGATGTTTCAAACCCACTTTCCATACAATTTCCATGTGGAATTCATGACATCTGAGAGCCTTCATGATGTGGCCTCTGCCTGCAAGTCTCTGTATTGAATACTCTTTTAAAGGACTTTAAACTTGGAGCCATTTCTGAGGTCATTTAGATAGTACAGTGGTTTCAGTTTCCAAAATGTAAAAAAAAAGAAAAGAAAAGAAAAGGGTGTTGTTTAGGTAAATGATGGTAAATATTGTACATAGTATGGAATGCTACGTGGGAAATAAGTGACTTGGTAGAATAGTTGTTGTGGTTGTTCAGTCACTAAGTCGGGTCCGACTCTTTGCGACCCTATGGACTGTAGCCTGCCAGGCTCCCCATCTGTGGGGTTTCCCGGGCAAGAATGTTGGAGTAGGTTACCATGCCCTCCTCCAGGGGATCTTCCTGACCCAGGGATTGAACACATGTCTCCTGCATTGGCAGGCAGGTTCTTTACCACTGAGTCATCAGGGAAGTTCCTCTAAGGGGCTCTCCCCTCTCACTTACGCTCTTTTTGCAGCTGCTGTGATTGGAAATCAGCTGCACCCTCCTTCCCTCTCACACGCCCAGTCTCCAGCCTCACCAAGATGACACCTGGCTGTCTATAAGGCTTACTGAAGACACCCTTTTTGCCTTGAAAAGATCCTTGACTACCCCTCATTCAGTCTGAGCCTTGCCTAACTATTCTCCTCTATGCCTCCCAAGGTCTGCATCCCAGGACCAACCACAGTCTGGCTCTCCCTCGCTCAGGGGCTCTCAGAAAGCAGAACTCAATCCTGGCACCCTCTCACTGTTGCACAGGTGGATGCTCGATTCAGGCTTGAGCTGACCCACTCACGTGGCTGTGACCACAAGCCAAAGGAACTGGGGCAATTCCAAGTGTGAGGCTGAGATGGAAACCATCCTCCAATGACAGAAGGAGCTTAATTCTGGCAGCAGGATGCTGGGAAAATGTTTGGGGCTTAGGATGGCAGACTCCATGGTAGTCCGCCACCACATGACTCTCCCAACATAGAAAGTCGCCTCTTACCCTCACTCATTGCTTCAGTTATTCCCCTCTGCACCGGGAGAAGGAACTGTCTTAACTGTAGGGTTCTCAGGAGGACTGTTTCCCCAAGGGATGCCAGTGCTATTTTCGACCTCTAAAGGAAAGTTTTGCCCCCGCCCATGCCAAGAAGTGGGAAATTGGTGGACCTCTTGGCAAAAGCCCAGAAAAAGATATTTTACATAGATGGCTTATCATTCTCCTAAGTCCAGAAGGGATTCACATGGAGCACAAGGAAGGTGAGAACACAGTTCTTTCCGTGTTATTCCTCGGAGTGATGGCCCCTTCTTAAAATGCTGGGGTCGGAGGATTAAAAGACTCCTGAACAAGTAGACATGAAACAGGGAGACAGAGGCACTATACCATGTTAGACAGTGTGGACAGCTCCACATAACACCATCCCCATGAGTGTCTCTTAAATACAGTCCCTGTGATCGGCACTGGGTCCTCACCAAGTCTACCTTTAAAAACCGAGTGCAGCAAATATGATATAGGCAAACCTTAGGGATGGCTGGCTTTGTCAATCATTTTAATTTCAAGAGTAATATGGGTCCACTGCACACAAGAGTCATAAAATGGTAGAAATGAAGGTTACTGTCACTCAGAAGAAATATGAAGAATGACAATATTCACCCTACATTAATAACAGTACACACAATGGAGCACCAGCAAATTCTGACCCCAGGATTATGAAAGCAAGGGTGTTGGAACACATTGTAGAAGACTCCCACGGCATTCGATGCTCCTTTTCTTTTTAACTTGACTAACAGAAAGTGAGTTGATTCCCCCATTCACACAGATGGACAGTTTGCAAGGGGAAATCAGTCTGGAATTAAAACAAACAAAAATAAACAAAAAACAGTAAGACCCTAAAAGGAAAGCCAATAGCCTGTCACACTTGTTGAATGTGACATATTCCGGAAGTGGAGTCCCAGCCTCCGTTACTGGGAAAACAATGCTAAGTCTAAGTCCCCCCCCCCCACACCCCCACTCCCTGCGTGCAGGTGTATTAATTATAAATCACAAACTCGGAGGTGTCCTGTTTTTCATCATTTATCAAACACGCTAAGGCCAACTGAAGAGGAAATGGAACATTAGCAGTGAGTTTCTCAAAGTGTAATTTCCTATGAGAGAAATTTATGACCTGTACTTATTCTCCATTAAAAGACGTCCAACCTCTTTTATTAGTTTATTCATCAAGGCAGCCCTGGTTTCAGGCCAGCTCTGAGAACCTGCAGGTCATCAGGAAAAGGGTCTCTGGGGAATTTTTTTCTCCTGGTCCAGTAGTGTTTTCCAGATCATAACACAGTTAACAGAAGTAGTCATGGCGCCTTCGGCAGGAGGTTTTTAGGTATTCCCCAGAAGGCAATTCACAGAGCAAGCCCCAGGGGCTGCACGGGCTATAAAGTGAACATCTAGAATGTACTTTGAAATGAAATGATTTTCTGTTTGCCGTATGAGGTTTGTGATTGCCTCTCAAAGAGCATTGCTTCCACTGCTTTTATGGCCAGGTTCAATTTCTTATTTAGTGATGTAATAAAGGGGTGATTTAAAACCTGTGAGCAAGGACTTCCCAATCAATGAGCAGACCTATCCCTCACTCACTGTGCTCCTCTCTCCACGATGCTGTGGCTGGTGCCCAAGCAACCCCACATGGTGCCCCAAAGCTGTCTCCACTTCCCCACATACATGGCCCTTTCTCTCTCTTCACCATAGAGTCCCCTACCCTGCAGAAGATCCAACTCTAGGCTCTCCCTAGATTTCTGTGTTGGAGCATTTTCTCTGTGCACAAAAGAACACTAATTTTATCATAATGAAGGCAAACACACCTGATATCTACAACTTAGCACTGGGGACCAGAAGGAGGGGGAAAAAAATTGGAGAAAGAACATCTTACCTTGTTTTCAGGATATTCAGAAACTGTAAAATTTCTGAAAACTGGATCAGTCTGAGAGCTCTTAAAAATCTCAAACCTGGAAAGAGAAATGAAATTAGAGATGTGTTATTTTAAATGTGTAGTTTTAATGCCTGCACTTTCCTGCTGGATTTAGAGCTGCCAAGGTTGAGGGGATATGAAACTCCTGCAGAAGACTGAACCATCCGGTACCTTGGATGTAGTCCTTCATCCTGATCCTTGACTGGTTTAATCTCAGCTGGTAAACTGACATTCTCATTAAAGGGAGCCTGTGTGGGGCCACAGCAGAGGAAGCTCTGGTGGGAACAGCCCAGTTCACTGAGCTCTCTCGTGTCCATCTCTGAGTTATAGCGCTATGTCTAAGTTACACGGTTGTTTGAGAGGATTCTGTCTCTGAAAAGTACTGGGAATAGCTCAGCATAACCCTTGTGCTAAGAGCAGATTAGGAACAAATCGGATAACCTCACCTCTTTGGTGGATTTTTTTTTTCAATTTTTATCTTCAGTCCTGATAAAATGAAGAGTATAGCCCATGGTGTTATCTGTTTCCTACAAAGTTCTATATTTTTCTCCCAATCAAAAAAATAAAAATAAAATCAGTAAGATCTCACACCCCATAACTTCAGGATTCAAAACTTCTATAATTCCATTTTATTGAATGTCAAGATAAACGCTTCCTCTTCAGATATCAGCAACTTCTCTTGAATGGAGAAGAAGAGGCAGTGTTTCTACATGGTGAGAGAGAGAGGGAAACGGGAAAGGAAGACCCAAGTGAGGATTCAAGGAAATACAAATTCTTGTTGGGTTTTAATAGCCATGAGTAAAATGTATTTCTCTTGAGATCAAATTAGTGAGTAAAAGCAATCTGAGTGGCACAAGACTTGGAAGCTTGGCAGTCTTGTAAGAGTACTGTTTACAAAATACTGATTATCACAGCTCTGGGACACTTTCAACATCACACCTGCTCTCAAGGGGATGTTCTTGTGCATATTTTCTGAGAGCATTTTATTAAGCTGCCCCACGTGTCATGCGTGGAGCTGAGCGCACAGTGGGCTAAGCTGTGAATGGTCAGCTCAGAGCCAGTGGGTGAGACTTTATTTGGCGCCTTATTGGAGGCAGCAAAGGGGGAAGGTGTGCAGAGTAGTGGGAAGAGGCAGTGGTGATTCTCTTACGACCCCAGGGTGAATCAAGGAAAGAAGACAGATCGGAGGTGTTCTCCTAAATGGCTCCACACTGGGCCCAGAGAGATGACTCTTCGTTCAAGCATAAAGTGAAAGAAAAAACTAACATAAAGCACACAGACAGAAGGATGAAAGGATGTGGCTCAAAAGGAAAATTTCTCATCTAAAAGGATTTAACTTCATGGACAGAAGATTTTTCAGAAAACATCTGCCTTCTGTTCTGAATGATATTCATCTTACTTTTATTAAACAAGAAAGTGCAGAGATGAGAAGGGAGGTGGATGAAATAAAAGGCCCCAGAGCCCAAAACACAGTCCTCACTGAGCTGATGAAAGGTGGACTTTACACTGCTGAAAACTGGATGCAGAGGACAAAATGCAGGGGCGTCTCCAAGGCATAGAACATAAGGAAAGGGAGGAAAGAAGATGAAACTTAAGAAAACAGAAATGAAGTGGAGATCACAGAGACCCAACCTATGAATAATACGTGTTCCAACGGGAAGTGCAGACAACACGCAGATCATCAGTAATGGCCAGGACATCACAGGAGTGAAAGGCAAAATGAATGACCGGCTCTGTTAAGACTGATACCAAGAAATCGCCTATTCATATCCTTCAAAGGTTAAGCATTAAAATAAATGAAAATATAAACAGTCAAAGTGTTGAGAGCGGGGGAGAGGGTTACAATTAACACAACTAAGATTTCATTATGTATCAGTAAGTGTTAAATGACAATTGAGCAAAACTCAGAATTTTAAAACAAAGAGAGTCTGACCCAAGATTTTTATACCCTGTCAAGTAGTTGTTCAACAGTAATAAAGGCAACAAAAAATACTTTCAAATATCCAAGTTCTCACAAAATGTATTGTTTGTACAAAATATTTGCAAAGATGTTCCTGCTGCTGCTGCTGCTGCTGCTGCCAAGTCACTTCAGTCGCGTCCGACTCTGCGCGACCACATAGACGGCAGCCCACCAGGCTCCCCCGTCCCTGGGATTCTCCAGGCAAGAACACTGGAGTGGGTCGCCATTTCCTTCTCCAATAAAGATGTTCCTAAGTCTTATTAAATCATAATGGGCAGAGGGGCAGGCTGGAAAGTGAGTTTTTAAAATAAACTTTCCCACTAGTTCTAAGTACCCAGCCCAACCTGGATGGCTGATCTGACTCCAGTATCACTGTCACATACCACTGGGAGATAAAATAACACATTCAGAAGCTGGACATGGGCAAGTTAGCACTGAAACCGGTCAGGATATAAGGATGTTTTAGTAATGTATTAGCCACTGGTAATTTCATCCTGAAAAATTGTGTGTGTGTATGAGTGAATTTTCATTTATGGAAACAAAAATAGAATACAAATGACCCACAGTTTGGACGGCATATCTCTCCTTTTATTGTGAAGCAATGCCCTTTGTATCCCATGTTATTTGTTGGTCGCTTGTCACATTTTAAAGCAACTCAGAAAAATATGCGTGTGAAAAAAAGGTAAGGAAAAAAGAATGTAGCGGTCACTAGGTCCTATCCTCTTGCTGGCTATAAACTGGGGAACCAGGTTTGAGCAGTTTCCCAAGGAGAGCAAGCAAGAAGACACTCTAAGATTAATAATGTATGAAAGAGGAAAACAAGCTGGTTTTCAGGAGGAGAGGTGAGCCCAGGATGGAGACCCAGACAAAGGCCTCCCTGTCAAAGGGGCCTGGGGTGATGCAGGAGCAACATTCTCATGCACTAAACAACTGTGGGTTTTGTTTACTTGACCACCTTGTGCTGGTCACTATCCCAGCACAAGACTTCACTAGTGCAAGTGAGAAACAGTATTCTACACCCGTTAAAAAACAAAACAAAACAAAACAGTGTTGGGGCTTCCCTGGTGGTCCGTTGGTTAAGAACCTGCCTTGCAATGCAAGGGACGCAAGTTCAATCCCTGGTCTGGGAACTGAGATCCCACAAGCTGCAGAGCAACTAAGCCCATGTGCCACAACTAAGCCTATGTGCTACAACTAACCCCCAAGGCAGCCAAGATGAATAAATAAAATAAATAAATATTTAAAAAAAATAAGTATAGATACTCTCCTCAGATTAAGCTAGACACTCTGGAGAAATGCATGGTCTGAAGTGTTGATCTTTCAGGCCACACATCACAACAGCTCCCTAACTGCTTTCCCCACTGGACACTTTGTGGTCGGTCCTCAGCAGAGCAGCCAGAGAGCCTGTCACCAGGTAAAATGGGCCATGCCGCCCCTCTGCTCAAAGTCTTCCAATGTGCCCATTCCACAAAGAGTAGAAGTCAAAGTGCTTCAACAACCTAAAGCAAGGCCAGTCCTCATTCCTTCCAGACCTGCTGACCTCCTCCTCCCTCTTATGCTATTAATATCAATACTTGACCTCTCATCTGAATGTCCTCCTCAGTAAACCTGCCCCAGGGCCTTTGCACACACTCTTCCCTCTGCCTGGAAAGTTGTTCCCCAAATGGCCATATGGTGCACTCGCTCACCTCCTTCCCGTGTTTAATCAGTGTTAACTTTCTCAGTGAGACCTTCCCCGGCTACTCTGTCTAAAAGCACAACTCCCCCCTTCAACCCTACCCACCCCAAAAAAACTCTTCATTCCACTTGCCTGTTTTACTTCTCCCCAGCATGAAGCACAAGCATCTTACTTATTTACATAACTTACTTTCTGTCTCCTTATCCATAGCACCACCTTTAGGAGGAGAGGGACTGATGTTTATTTTGTTCATGGCTGTATCCCATGTACCTAAAATAGTGCCTGGCATAACGTGGATACTCAGCAAACACTTGCTTGAATTGAACTGAATGAATCAGACTTCTGGGAAAGAATTAGACAGCAGAGAGCTAAAGATTAGCTACTCTGCTTGTGGAACTCTGAGATAACACATTGTCTACTAGAGGGAAAAGCCATGACCTCTGAAGGTTCACTGGACAGAGGCCAGGGAAATAAGGAGCCTAACCAGGAAAGAGCCTTGATCCACGGTCACGCTGCTGAACCCAGAGAAGTCCTAAAAGAGAATGGACAGCAACCTCACATTCTACAAGGAGGCCAAGAAAAGGAAACAGTGGAAAGGGCAATGCCTAAGCAACAAATATTCATCTCCTTTGCTTTATAACATTATATTCGTATAAATTAGTCTATATAAGTTAAAATTTCTCTGAAATAAAATTATATTTTTAGGAGACAGAAGACAGCCATAACAGAGTTGTGAGGAGAATGAAATGTTAATTATGCCCTCCAAAAATCTAGATTGTTTCACAAGCCAGTTCCTTTAAAGTATCCAAATACAGTAAACTTCTCTACATACTCTCTATTATATACTTAAGTAGTAAAAATGGACTTTTCTTTTTCTGTACTCTGTATTGGTTAGAAAAGTGGCATTACCTAGACATAGGTACCCCACATATTAAAAGAAAAAAACGGCAAGCTCATCAGACTAATGACTAACCACAAGAATCCTACATAAAATCTGAGACTGTATTAGATAAATAACAAGCATGGGCAGCAGTGGCTACTGTGGGGCACAGCCCAGATCCTTTTTCCAGGGATCTTTGCTCATCACTGGCTCCTGGAGAGGGACCTTGCCCACAGTCACACCCGTCACCAGGGGTGGCCCCCACGGCTGGTGCATGTGGGGACAAAGGTCTGCCACCTCGCCTGGATCTGGAACAACGCTGACAGGCTCTCCACTGCGGGACTGCAGGGGGGCGGACGAGGCCTCTGGTGCAGCTGCCCTGCAGCCGAACCCTCCACCCCGTCCCAGTTCCCGTCTCCTCTCCCATCATGGCACTGAAGCCTGCCCTGGGGACATGGTCCAGAAGGCTAAGGACTCTGCAGAAGCATGCTGAGCACATTGGAAATACTAAACAAACAG